GCCCGCCAGCCAGCCAGCCAGCCAGCCTGCCTGCCCGCCCGCCCGTCCGCCGGACAAAGCCGAGAGCCCGCACCCACAGCCATGTCCTCGTCCGCCGGCAGCGGCCACCAGCCCAGCCAGAGCCGTGCCATCCCCACGCGCACCGTGCCCATCAGCGACGCCGCGCAGCTACCTCACGACTATTGCACCACGCCCGGCGGGACGCTCTTCTCCACCACGCCAGGAGGTGAGCCCCGGCCAGCCCTGGGCCGCGCCGCCCCGGGACCCTGCCCTCGGCGCTCTGCCGCCCACTCGGGGTCGCCGCAGCCCCGGTGCGGAGAGCAAGCGCTTGTTCCCGCGGAATGCACTCGACCCAGATTTCCTCTCTGCTCCCGCCTCCTTCCCCGCGGGATTCGGCCCCTCGTGACGCCCCGCGCCTTGCAGTAGATTGTGCACGTTAAGACTTGATTTTTGGAGTTGTGTGCAGGACCGCTTTAAAAGGAAGTGGGGCTAGAGGAATTTGCGCGCGGGCCCCCGCGATGGTTTGTTTTGCTGCTTTGGGAACACCGGGAGGAGGCCGGCTCGCGGAGCCTGGAAGCCTCGCTTGGCGTTGACACCATTGTTTACTTTGCTGGACGCGGCCCCCCGCGGGTGGGTGGGGGGAGTCCCCAGGCCCCGAGCGGCGCGATAAAAAAAATAATAATGCTCGAGTGGGAGCCAAGGGGAGCGCGGCGGGGGCGGCCTTAGGGGAGGAGTGTGGCGGCTCCGCCCGTGGCTGGATCCCCGGGGGCCATTGTCAGGCCGGGTGGGCTGCTGGATCGTGCGGAGGGAGGTTCTCGGGCATTGCTCTCCGGAGTGACTGGAACGTGTTTACAAGTTAACACTGGGGTAGGGGTGAAGCGTGTCGCGTTGGTCACGGGGAAAGGGAGCTCAAAGGTTGTCTGCCAGAGGACTGGGCTGTCCTCCGGCGGGGGGGACTGAGGGGGATTGGAAAGGGATTTTGAGGGGCCTCCGTTTTTAACTTCAGAACTTTGCCTTCTTTTGGTGATGGGATGGCTGCCTGCTCGAGGGTGGGGACTTCGCTGGCAGCCCCTGCAGGGTGCAGGCTTGCCCGCCTCCTTCCTGTGGGCTGGGCGCACGAGTTGTACCGCGGCCAATCGGGTGCAGCTAGGCCTGGGCCGTCGGCGAATCGATTGCACAATAGCGAGGCCTGCCGAATGCGGAGACCTCCCTGCCAACATCGAGGGATAAAAAAAAAAGCAGGGAGCTTTACGGAGGAATCCAGCCAGGCCACTCTGGGGGAAGGGTGGCGGCCCTGGGAGACTTGGAAGTGACCCCGTTGGAAGTACATGGGTGCTTGTGAAGAACTGGGTAGAAGAAAACGCTGGTGTTCTGGAGGAGGGGTCACCTCACTGAAGAGCCTCCCGCCTGATCTGCCCTGTGTTTGAGTGCGCTTTTAGCTTGTGGACGACTTTGGCAGACCATTCTGCTCCTGATTGGGTTGCTTTGAACTTGATTGAACTGATAGCTTGTAGGAAAATGGGTATAGTTTTCCAAGGTCCTTTCAGACTGCTTTGTGGTGTTGGTCAGAAAATGCCTGTGCTTCCAGCAGTCCAGAACCTCACAGTAACAACTGCTCTCAGCTGTCATTTTTTCAAGGAAGAAACTATGCTTTTACCTATATGGTAATTATCATCCCCCTGAGGGAAGTGGGTGCCCTTCTGGCATGTTTCTGACAGCTAAGCTACCATGCTTTGAAAATACAGGCATAATCTTTTAAGTGTTGCTTTCAAGTTGGTAGACTGTCTCTTCGTCTGAGATAGTTCTTAAAATGCTTGGGAAGAAATACTAATTCATTTGTTCCTCCTGCCAACATACAAAATCATCCCTGCTTTCCTCCCCTCCCTTCCCCTCCCCTCCCCTCCCCTCCCCTTTCCTTCTGAAAGGCAGAGTTAAAGAGAGAGAGTTCTTCCATCACTGGTTCACTCCCCAAATGGCTGCAATGGCCAGAGCTGGGCTGAACCAAAGTCGGGAGCCAGCAGCATCTTCCAGGTCTCCCACATGGGTGTAGGGGCTCAAGTATTTGGCCCATCTTCTGCTGCTTTCCCAAGTGCATTAGCAGAGAGTTGGATTGGAAGTGGAATAACAGGGACTCAAACTGACACCCATATGGGATGCCGGTGCTGTAGGTAGCACCTTAACCCACTATCCACAGCTTACATAATGTTTGTAAGACTAGCAGTGTTGCAACTGGGTTTAAACTTTTATAGCAGTTAGCACCATACTATTTTGGTGTTCAGTACTTACTGATTCCTTCCCTGTTTGCGCCTTTTTTGCCCTCTGATACTATGTGTTCATCTTTCTTGCTATGTTCTCTTCCCTCTCACCATGTAATTTTATTTCCCTGAACCAAGATAAGAGAGTTTGTTGTTATATGGTCACCTCCAGACAACTGAATTAATGTGCTTCAGTATTTTTAGTTTTGTGAGCTCAGTGCAGTGCTTTGTGCAAAAGGGGACAATAGACAAAAATAAGAAATGTAGTCCTTGCTCTGAATGGGCTTAGAATTTTGGTTTGGGAAGGAAAAGAGGGAACAGTAGAGTATCAAATATTGGCTTACATATTTCAGACTTGGAAACACTTAGAAAAATAAGTCGGTAGATTTGTATTGGAAACCTGTTTGGTGGGAAGGGGGAGGATTGGCAGTTCTTGCCTCAGACTTGCGGAGTGTCATAGCTGTCAGAGATTCCAGGGTACCAGTGGATGTGCTGAATGCCTCGAATAAGCAGACTGGGCAGGGACAGTCAGAGCACAGTGAACCTAAAAGAGTTCATGCCTTGTATGCAGGTGTTTCGAAGTTGCTTCTGTAGTTTGGGAAATGAGTGATGGGAGGAAACGTACTTGGTGTAACCTCTTGGATTTCTTATTACTTATATTATTCTTCTTTGTTGAGGGCATTTAAGATAAATAACTGTCCTTAGTTTTTATTTTACATATTTTTTTTACCTATGGTGAGGTGGGGATGACATTTGGTTCTTCCATTGAGAAGTTGCTTCCAGCTTTAGTGGAAGGTGAGGTTACTTTAGTTGACTTCATTTTTAACACTGGTTAGCTGGAAGGAACCTAATGAGTTCATTTTATAATTGAGAGAAACTGAGACATGGGAAATTAAGTTCTCGAAAGTATCGTTCAACTAATTAGTGTCAGTGGGTCACCTCGAATTTTGTATGCTAATCGTTTTTACCATTCTGTCCTCCACTGTCTTAGGATACTTGCCTTAGTAGGAAAGGACGTTTGCCAACATTTAGAAACTTTCCTACCTCTAGAATGCTAGCTAATGTGGTTCTGCTTCCTGACTGCTTTTCTGGGTGCTGAGCTGTCTCCTAGGAGGGTTGAGCTCCGGAGAATGAGCAGAAACAGACTTCTTGTCTGTCTTTTCCTGCCTGACATTCTCCTCAGCTGTGGAAAAGTGTTATTGCCATGGTGAGAACAGCAGAGGGGAACTGGCTCTGATGGTCTGAAATCTTGTTCATGCTGTAGCTCTTCCTCTCCTCTATGACTGGCTCGCTGGGGGCAGATTTACCTGAAGGCCACTGGGAGGGTCTGGAAATAAAGAAGAAGGCAGGGAGAAGGCAAAATAGTACACTTAGAGTGAGCTTGATCAAAATAAGGGTGAGGGGCTGCTTTGTATCTGGGTCCTTCCTTGGGAGGAATGAATAGAGTTCTGTCTGTAGATTCGAGGATGGAAGGTCAATTTCTGACCATATCATAGCATTGTTTGGTGACCTTGGGTGGAGTTTATTCTAGGACAATAACTTCTGAACCAGCAAATGTACTTATCTGACTCTTTAGCTTCAGTTATCAACCAAAGGATTTCTTTATTACACTCAGGAAGTCCGTGAAAAACATACTGAAGAGAAGATGATGTCCTTTTGTTCTTACACTGGGTGCACTTTGGCTGCTGAGGGTCTATATTCTGAGCCTGGAGAGGACAGCATACTTCATCCTCAAGGCATTGCACTGTGTGGAAGGCAGCACCTTTGTCAGCCTAAATCGGTTGCAGTCTGACCTGACCTTGTTGAGCTTACTAGTGGAGCCTGCTTGACATGCCTGTGCATTGCCCCCTTCTGCTTCCCTGAGGCCTGCTGCATGAAATAGGAACAATGGTGAGCCTGTAAGCCAGCACTGCTGAGGTTATTGGCAGAGACCTTTTGAGGACCAGAGTCTAGTTTTACAGGAGAGATCATGGAAATACTGTATAGGCTTGACAAAGAGAGTGAGTGTGTAAATATTTGCAGGTCAGCTAGGGTAAAGTTAGAGTAGAAGAGCTAGCTCATCTGGCTAGAGAGGAACAGTTTGATGAGGAAGATAGCTTGTTGTAGAAAGGCCAGGAGAACTTTTTCTTGGCTCCCAAGTCTTTAGGTGATCAAATTAATGTTTAATGGAGTTTTGCTGCTTTGTTTATTGTAGAAGAGTCACTTGAAACTCAAAGTCAGTAGGTTAGGGCCCAGGCTACTCTGCTCACATTTGTTTATTAGTGCTTTGTGAAGGCCCCTTAGAACCTGTGTGCTCCTCTGCCCAGCAGCTAGCTCTCTAGCCAGTGTGCTTTCTGCTTCGTTTTAAAATTTTATTTGAAGGCCGGCACTGTGGCTCAATAGGCTAATCCTCCACCTAGCGGCACTGGCACACCGGGTTCTAGTCCCGGTCGGGGCGCCGGATTCTGTCCCGGTTGCCCCTCTTCCAGGCCAGCTCTCTGCTATGGCCCGGGAGTGCAGTGGAGGATGGTCCAAGTGCTTGGGCCCTGCACCCCATGGGAGACCAGGAGAAGTACCTGGCTCCTGGCTTCGGATCAGCGTGGTGCGCCAGCCGTAGCGCGCTGGCCGCGGCGGCCATTGGAGGGTGAACCAACGGCAAAAGGAAGACCTTTCTCTCTGTCTCTCTCTCTCACTGTCCACTCTGCCTGTCAAAAAAAAAAAAAATTTATTTGAAAGAGAAAGAGGGACCTTCCAACCATTGGTTCACTCCCTCACTACCTGTAACACCTGGAGCTAGGGATTCCATCCAGGTATCCCACAGGAATGACAGGGACTCAGGTACATGTGCCATCATTCTGCCTTCCCAGGTGCATTAGCAGGAAGGTGGATTGGAAGCAGAGTAGTATGGACTTGAAACTTGAACTGTGGCTTTTTTTTTTTTTTTTTTTTAAGATTTATTCATGTATTTGAAAGGTGGAATGAGAGAGAGATC